GATAATTCTCTTGTTTCACCCTTTCTCATGCTCTTCTATCTCCCACTAGTGTGTTTCATGACTTAACCTAATTAGAAGTCAGCTAGCAAGAAATCCCAGGAAATTCTGAACTCCTATGGGAGTTAGTACATCTCAATACTGAGTGGAGTAGGAAATGGGTAGAGAATGGATCTAAGAGCAAATGACCTCTTAGTGGTTAGCTAACAGAGCTAAATTTTTCCATGAATCCCTTGGTTCATGAATGTAAATACAGTATCCAAGGAAAAATAACAAGTCCAACATGTAGAACTTTTTGTTCATAAACATATTAGGATCCTGTTTTATAATTTTCCAAGCAATTGCTTGATTTTGATACCTCAGGACAAGCCGGAGGCCTGGGCAGAGCAAGTAACCCCATCCTAGTTTACAGTTGACAAAACTGGCATTTACAAGGTTAGTGACTTCCTTAAGATCAAACTGCAAAACAATGGACAAGCAAAACTTCCTGGGAAGATGCCCTTTCATTACTCTGCACTGCCTTTTTTGAAGTTCCTTTGAGACACAGTCATTAAAAATTTAAATAATAGTTCACCTGGAACAAACATTTATTTTACTTGTAGGTGAATATCACAAAACACATTTTAAAAGCAAATTTAACCCATATTCAACCTTAAAATTTTAATGATAGAGCTTTGCACTCACTTTTATCTTCCAAGTTAAAGGGAGAATTTTAGAGTTGCAGCATTTCTAGACAATGTCTATAAAACAGTGAGCTACTTGCTTTGCGTTCAGAAGGGGCTCACACTGTGGGGAATATAGTTTGACTCATTAAAATTAGTAGTAGATGTACTAGCAGTAGTGATGATGATGATGATAATGATGATGATGTTGATGATGCTGATGATTAATATTTATGTAATCCTTCGGGCATGCCAGGCACCTTTGTAAATGTTCTCCCTGAATTCTCTAAGTTAACCCACACAATCATATTTCCACATAAATACTGTTAATATTCCCATTTAGCAAAGGAGGAAACTGAGGCACAGAAAAGATATTTAACTTTCCCATTTGCCATATAACTACTAAGTTATCACGCCAGGATTCAAACCTAGCAGGCTCATTGTATTGCTCAGGCTTTTAGCTACTCTTTCACTTCCTCTTCTCTTTTCTACCATGTAGGGTCAATATCACTAAAATAAGTTCTTATAAAGAAAAAAAAATGAGAGAAGATAAAGTAGAAAAAAATACTTGAAATTCTTGAAATTAATTCAGGTTGTCTCATAGTTCACAATCACTTTTTCTGCCTAAAATACTGTGAATATATATCAAGCACATATTGCAGTAGTAGCATAATGGGTTTGAATATAAAAAATTTCTTTCCTGGTTGGGGAACCAACCTTTTGGGGATTTAGCATTTTATATTCTTCATAGAAAATACACACACATATACATACACACACACACACATATACAAAGGCAATCTTTTTTTATAAGCTAGTGCTCACAGTATTTTAAATTTCTTCACACACCGTGATCACCACACAAGCAATTCCCTGTGGTGTACACCATTGTAAATGGAATTCAGAAAGAGAAAAGGGAGTGTGTGAAGTCTATTGTAGTTTTGAATTTACACTCCTTCTGAGGTCTGGAGTTATCCCCATAGTAAATTTCACAGCGGTAGGCAAAACCGGTCAAGGTCATGGTTCCTAGTGTGAATGACACTTGGGTAAAGCCCAAGATGGGCGGGCAGAATATTACTGTAGGAGAAAGGGAAAACATTCTGTTGTGGGGAATGTCTTTAAGAAGGGAGAAAAGAGAAAGGCTACCTCTGAGAACCTTTGTGTTTATATAAGGGCCTGAGCCCCATCAATGTCAGTCAAGATCAGTGGGAGTTTTACTTTTTAATCCTACATCCTCACAAAACCTGGGCAGCATTCAGTGAGGGTTAGCACTCAGTCAGGATTTCCTTAGGTATAACAGTCCTAACTTTCTCTGTGAATACAATTTTGCAGAAAAATATATGGCACGCATATTTCTGCCTTTCAAGCATTAAAGTTCATCAAAAAGTTCTGTTCTGACATCAAGACTCACTCTTTACTACCTTGTTTAGTAGGAAATCTCTCATTTAACTCTAGCTTGCTATTTCTTTCAGAGATTTTGGAAAATTCCAGGATAGGTTATTCATAATTTTAGGCATTTTTATGATCTATTGATTATGTTTTTAGATTCATTGGCACCTTCTGCATTTTATGTTTTTTAATTTTAACAGCTTTTTTGAAGTATAATTGATATACAAAAACTGCATACAATTATATGGGCTAGAACATGTGCACATAACCATGAAACCATCCAAATAGTATAACCTCTTATATCTAGACTTTTCAAATAAGAACCTATGAGTGATGGGTGGCTTCCAAGGTTATTTAACTTGCTTGAGTAAAATAAATGATTTTAATTATGTATTTACTAAAAATTTTGTTTTTATTTTGTATTCCTGAGCTTATACATATATGCTCTGATATTGGTCCATTGTAAGTATTTTGTTAACAATTCACTCTTTTATAAAAGGAATTCACTTGAAAAAAAGGTAACCAAGTTATTGTTCTCAGTTTTGTGGATGTTTATGCTATTAATTAGAGATTTAATAGATGAGAGATAATAAGCTCTTCTTTTAAAATGCAAATAGCACCCTCTGGATAGTAAGGGCCAATTACATATTCTTTCGTATCTTGGAATACATTACTTTTATCACTTTAGGTTTGGCTTAAGTGAGGAGGAGAAGGGAAGAAGTGGTAATTTTGTACCCTAGGAAATTTCTAGAAAAGGCAAGCCTTTGGCAGAAGTTCCCTAAGAAGGGCTTTCAAATAGTGTGAGGATCTGAAAAGTGGAAAATAGAAACGGCAGTGCTTGATAAAAGGAGTATGGAAGAAAAGGCAGACATTCCACAAGGATAAATGTTAATTGTTTTGTAAGAGCAGCAACTATGTTCTGTGCCTTTAGACACTGTCCTCTGCTTTCATAGCAAAAGTCAGTGATATTGTCATTAGCTTCTTGGTAATAGTTTGGTAATCTGCATCTATTTGCTATATGCAGTAAATACTATTATTTAGTTTGTTTCTAGGATGTTTTAGTTAACTGAGAAATTACATTATATATAGATTGTATATGTTTAATAGGAGTTCAACCAAACATGCTAAAATTATGCTGAGAATACTGTTTGATTTTTATTCTGTACATATCATACTAACACAAAAGAACAAATATTAAAAACAAAAATGATTTTTCTCCTCAGAAGCATTATTTTCAATTTCTTCCATTTTGTGTTCAGCTCATGATTATGTATTCCTAGAGATAAAAAAACACAGTGTATTTAAAAATTGTGTTCTGTTTTTTACACAAGAAAATTGTGTTCTTTTTACAGTGATTACTGTGTGCATTTGCTCTATATTGTACCATCGGAATGGTGTATTATGTTATTTTAATGTCCCTGAATTAAACATTGACATTGTTTCTCTTTTTTTTTTTCTCTTGAGATGGAGTTTTGCTCTGTCACCCAGGCTGGAGTACAGTGGCGCAATCTTGGCTCACTGCAACTTCTGCCTCCTGGGTTCAAGCAGTTCTCTGCCTCAGCCTCCTGAGTAGCTGGGATTACAGGAGCCTGCCACCATGCCCAGCTAATTTTTACATTTTTAGTAGAGACGGTGTTTCACCATCTTGGCCAGACTGGTCTCGAACTCCTGACCTCATGATCCACCCACCTTGGCCTCCCTAAGTGCTGGGATTACAGGCATGAGCCACTGCACCCGGCCTGTTTCTCATTTTTTTACTGCTTTGGTTAATGAAGATTTTAAGGCATATAGTGTATTGATCTTCTTTTGAAGATTGTATTAGGCTAAAGTACCAAAAGTGAGATTACTGAGTCAATGGGAATAAGCATTTGTATGTCACTTGGTATCTATTGCCAAATTGTCCTAATAGATACTGTCCCCAGCAGTAATACATGAATGTGCTAGTTTTACTGGTCTTTTAAGCTTTGGATTTTATTTTTTGTTAATTTAATTGGTGTCCAATTGTACCTTTTCAATACTCTGTTTTTCTATTACTTGAAAGTTAACTTTTTTTCTTTTTAAATAAAATCATCCTACTTTTTCTCTTGTTTCAACTACCTGTTCCTGTTCCTCTGTCCATTTATCAATGACTTAACCCATTGTATTAAATTTGATATAACTATCTTAACAATTAGTATTATCTTAATGCTTAGAAGCCTCCTCTCTGCACTTGCAGAAATGTTTAATAGAAATTTCAGGTTGATATGCTTCGAGACAAACGCTACCATTAGTCGACTTCTTTCTTTGAAATATGTTTCAAGTGATTAGATAGCAAGTTTGAAAACACTGAATTACCAAAGACAAACAACGAAGAAAATGTAGGTGATTTGGTTTAGCAAGATTCTTATATTTTGACTTTTATTCCAATTTTAAAGTAGGATACTCTAAAAGTATTTTGATCCTTCAAAAAGTTCGTAACTAGAATAACTACTATTCTTCTGTTGTTCAATATTTTCTGTATGCACGTTTAGTTGAACGCCAGTAGATGGCACTAATTACATAAACGATTCAACAAGTTAATGAAGAGGAAAAGAAATGTATGAGTTTTTTTTTTTTTGGTTCAAATGTTGTTATATGTTACATAGTCAACAATTATATATGAGCTTATTTTTGTAGTTTTTTTCTCTTGTGATAAAACAATTAAGCCCACTTTATTGCCAATTAATTGCTACTAAGTTGAAATAATTGATACTGGTTGTTGCTCAAGATGCTGCATTTGAAAAGTTTGTCCTGAAAGGTGGGTTACCTTATACTGTCATGACTGACTAAATCAACATGGTAGGTTAAAAGCAATCTAATATACGTATTCTGACCTGAGGATTCAGAAGCTGTTTACGAAGTGTTTTAAGACACTCCCACTGGAGATTTCAAAAAAAAACTGACATTCATTCTCTTTCTCATAAAAATCTATAGCAGTTGGCCAAAGACCTCCGCCAGTGGCAGATAAATGTAGATGTGGCAAATGACTTGGCCCTGAAACTTCTCCGGGATTATTCTGCAGATGATACCAGAAAAGTCCACATGATAACAGAGAATATCAATGCCTCTTGGGGAAGCATTCATAAAAGGTATGAATTACATTATTTCTAAAACTACTCTTGGCTATAATAATGGGGTGGTGAAACTGTATGGACCATGAAGATTTGTTTTTCCAATCCAGCTAAACTGGAGCTTGGGAGGGTTCAAGATGATAAATACCAACTAAACTCACTGACTTGGCTCAGACTTCTATTTTAAAAATGAGGAACATAAGATCTCATTTGCCCATTGTCACAAAAGTAGTGACGTAACCAACAGATTAAACAAAAAACAAAATACTGATTTATAGCTAGAAGAGCCATTTATCAGTCTACTTTGAGAACTCTATCCAAAGTCCAAAGAATTATCTTTCTATCTTATCATGGCACACACTGCCTTACCTGTTATTTGATAAATAAGTCACTTTGGGATTCATGATGGAGTTATAGCTGTCCATGGTATCATCCTCGTGTCTCACTCCACACACCCAATGGGAAAATTTGTGGAGGGTAATATGACTCATCACTTCATTTCCCATTATATATCTATGGAAATTAACAGCTCTTATAGACAGTATCTCCTCAAACTAAGCTTTGTACCCTTATTATACCTCTCTTGATCTCTAGTGCTTTTTTCACTAGCATTTATTCCAATTATAAATAAAAATATAAAATTATGAAACTAATTATTAAATATTTGTCCTTTAAATTAATCCAAATGCCATGAGGACAGAGATTTTGTCTTTCCTATGTGATATATCCCCAGATCCTGAACCACGTGATATAAAAATTGGGAGCTAGTAAATGTTTTTTGAATGATGATTCCCTTTGCAGAATGTACAATTACCTTGTGCAAGCTGAAAAAATAGTACCTGTACAACATGAGGAAGACCATGGTGAAAAATAATTGAGTTCCAAAATATGACATCAATTACTGAAAAAATAAGCTCAGTGATTTTTAACGAGAAGTAAAAGCCACCATTGGGGCCAAAACAGATTTTGAACTAAGAGCAGGAAGTCTTAGGAGAAATGAGATAATGATATATAGAAATTAAGAGACCAACTAAATTTTGAAACTAAGCTAGACATTAGACAGTAAAAACTCCTATGAAGCTGAATTTAAGCTAGTGACCCTGGGGAATAGAGCAACTCTAATCCTGAATTCCAGACAGTAAGTGTATAGATGGAAAAGAACATGGAAAAGAAGATTCAACCTAAAGTTGGCAAGTTTTAATTGGAGCCCTATGAAAAAGACCCCGATGGAGAAAGGGCAAGCTTGAATATGGAACTGATATTTGGAAATTTTCTCATAGTAACTACTTTTTCTCAATGGCAAGACTTGGACTTTCTTCTCAAAATACAGATCTTGTATGTGTTCAATTAAACAGGGACAGATTAGGTTCAGGAAGAATTATTCACATGGAATCAATTGGTATCAGAGAGTCAACCATTAAATCTTAGTGGGAAATATCTGCTTTCCAAAGAGAAGCCTTTTTGGAAAAGTCAATTAAAGTCAGAGATTAATTTGATGAGTTTAGGGAATATAAACTAAGGCGCCAAGAAAAAAGCTTGCTCATGGTATGAAACTAGAGCTTCAGGACACTGGTCTATTCTATCTGTACTACTCTTTCTGACAGACCCCTCTCTTCATTCTCATGCTCCTTGATGGCCCAAGCAACTCTCTCAGTTTTTAAAAAATTGTTTTATTAAGGTCTTTGGATTCTTCATGGGAATGACTTCCAGTTGATATTTTTTGGCTTGTTTCCAAAAAGCTATCAGCTAAGGAATGCATATAGTTACTTCCCCTGTGGGTAAAGTAAATTAGAATTTTAGAAACCAACTCACATTTTTGGCCTGTAGAGAATCTGCAATTCACCAAGCTACTTCTGACTCATGTCTATAAAGTTCTTCCCTGTTCTTTTCTCACTTCACATGTACCCTGTACAAGAATTCATCCACTTGTATAGTTTCAGTCTGTTGATGACTATCCATCTATAATTCCAGCTGAGAATGATCTTTTGAGTTTTAGACATATAGAGATCACTGCTTTCTTTCTATGTTAATGTCCCACAGGAACTTCACATTGAAGAGGTCCAAAGCTAAACTCATCTTTGCCTTCTTCCAATCTCTTTCTCCAAATGCAACCTACTTCTATTGTCCTTGTCTTAGTCCTTTTTGTGCTTCCATAACAGAATACCACAGACTGGGTAATTTATAATGAACAGGGATTTGTTGGCTCATATTTCTGGAGGCTGGGAAGTCCAAGATCAAGGAGCTGGAATCTGGTAAGGGCCTTCTTGTTGTGTCATGATTCCATGATGGAAGGTGGAAGAACAAAAGAGAGAAAAAATGGGACCAAACTTGCCTTATATGAAACTCACTCCGACAATAATGATGCTAATCCATTCATGAGGGCAGAACCTTCATGTCCTAATCACGTCTTAAAGATCACACTTACTACTGTTGCAATGGCAATTAAATTTTACCATAAGTTTGGGAAGGGACAAACACTACACCATAGCATTCTGCCCCTTTTTCCCCAAAATTCACATTCTTCTCAATGACAAAATACATTCATTTCATCCCCAAAGCCCCAAAAGTCTTAACTCATTTCAGCATAAACTCAAAAGTCCAATCTAATATAAATTAGATATAGGTGAGACTCAAGGCACAATTCATCCTGACTCAAATTCCCCTCCATCTCTGAGCCTGCAAAATCAAATCAAGTTTATCCCCTCACCCCCTACCCTTCCCAGCATCAGGTAACCACCAATCACAGAAAGTTTTATTGATAGTCCTGCTCTAGATTATCTTTGTCTATGTTCACTTTAGCTATTTATCCTAGTGTTCCATTATTGGAACACTGAGCATGTGGGAGTTATTTATATTCTACTGTTCAAGGTCATCATCAAGGTCTGATTGCAAAAATTCAAAAAATTACAACCTTAGGCATAAATGAGTTAAGCAGTTTAGAGTACATTTATAATAATTATTTACTATACTACTTCAAAAAACTTATTGCCTCTATTTGTAAATAGTGTTGTCTCTACACAGGGGTTTGTTATGCATTTGCTTGTTTCTGCCTGATTTTTTTTCTATTTATACATTTTCTTTTTTATTTTTATTTTTTAACTTTTAAGTTCAGGGGTACATGTGCAAGTTTGCTACATAGGTAAACTTGTGTCATGGGGGTTTGTTGTGCAGATTGTTTCATCACTTAGGTATTAATCTTGGTACCCATTAGTTATTTTTCCTGATCCTCTCACTCCTCCCACCCTCCACACTCCAATAGTCCCTAGCGTGTGTTGTTCCCCTCTATATGTCCATATGTTCTCATCATTTAGTTCCCACTTATAAGTGAGAACATGGGGTATTTGGTTTTCTGTTCCTGTGTTAGTTTGATAAGGACAATTGGCCTCCAGCTCCATCCATGTCCCTGCAAAGGACATGATCTCATTCTTTTTTATGGCTGCATAGTAATCCATGGTATTTCTGTTGGTCTCAAAAACTACAACTATGACAGGATGGCATTTGCACTTTTGTTGTTATATTAAACTCATCTTAAAAGGGAAAGATTAATAATATCAATATTTGGGTTATGGAGAAAAAGTATCTCATATCTTTGAAAAAGTTCTGTAACTACAGCTTTTTAGGTAGGAGGGATTCTGTGGAAAGCATTCTGATTGCATCATTTCTCATAGTTCAGATTAGACACCATTTTACTATGAAACACTCATGCATTGCCTGCACTGAGACTTTCAGTCATATGGAGAAACCTAGGCAAAATTTGTATATACTTGGAAGAATATTTAAATTAGTAATAAAATCTTTAGTTTTAAACTGTTGAATGTTAAATAAGATATAAAATGTACTTGAAAGAAATTTACTTTGATATCAGTGACTGCCATGTTGTAGTTTCAAGACATAATAAAAAAGTAAACTAATGTTTATATTTTGCTGTTTAAGTTTATTAATATATCAGATGAGTCTTCAAATTCTACAGTGGCTTTTGATAGGATCATTTTTATTTGTCATCTTACATAGAATGAATATAAATAGCCATTTATGCTTAAAAGGAACGAATCTATTTATGGAAAAAAAGAGAAGCCTGCTTCTCAACTAAATTGTACAGTTTAGAAACCCAGATCTGAACATAGATTATTGTTGTGACCTATGTAGGAAAATATTTTGTTTTCCTTATCATATTCTTTATAGAGTTCATGTTAACATATAAAGCCAGAAATGTGAGCCTCTGCAAGTTCATTTCTTTGTCTTCAATTTCTGTGAATAGATATGAATTTGTGAACAAGATAATATTAGATGTGATATTACAAATTATTGTGAGAAGCCTCTAAGGATTAGATTTCAAGGACTGCCATCTGGCTGATGACTTTATGATGACACTGTCATGAGATTTCATTTCCTTATTTCTATTCCAGGATCACCCTTTAAACAAGAAATAAGCATTAAATCTGAATTGTCTGTTTGTAGCTGTATGAGGGCTTCCACAACTACCAACTAGCCAGGTACAAACTCATCAAGCAGAGACGGTCCTTGCATCAGAGGGTTAAACATGCCTAGAAGTTCCTTAGCTAAGCTCTCTGATACTAAAAAATCCCTCTAGGTTCTAAGAAAGATTCAGCATATACATGTGTGTACATGTATGTGTGTACACATGTGCATATATATGTATATGCATGCATATATGTGTGTATGCATATGCACGCATATACATACAAACACATTTTCTTCCATAAAATAACATCTCAGTATTCTCGGTTCTTCCTAATGTTTTATATTTTAATGATCAAAATTAATAGTTGATCATCTGAAAAAATTTTGACCTGTTTTCTCCATCTTTGACAACCTTGAAGGCACTTGTAAGTCGCTCTTTGCTTCTCTATTCCTAGGTCCTTTTTCCTCTTCACTTCATTGAAACAAAAAAAGAGAAAACAATTGAACCCTATTTTGTGTGCAGCAAGGAGCTACTCTGGTTAAGCACTAGATCTCTTTTACATTCTCTAACATGTTGTTTTAGTAATTATTCTACT